ATAATAATAATAATAATAATAATAAATAATAATAATAATAATAATAATAATAATAATAATAATAATAATAATATAATAATAATAATAATAATAATAATAATAATAATAATAATAATAATAATAATTAATAATAATAATAATAATAATAATAATAATAATAATAATAATAAAATAATAATAATAATAATAATAATAATAATAATAATAATAATAATAATAATAATAATAATAATAATAATAATAATAAATAATAATAATAATAATAATAATAATAATAATAATAATAATAATAATAATAATAATAATAATAATAATAATAATAATAATAATAATAATAATAATAATAATAATAATAATAATAATAATAATAATAATAATAATAATAATAATAATAATAATAATAATAATAATAATAATAATAATAATAATAATAATATAATAATAATAAAAAAAAAAAAAAAAAAATAATAATAATAATAATAATAATAATAATAATAATAATAATAATAATAATAATAATAATAATAATAATAATAATAATAATAAATAATAATAATAATAATAATAATAATAATAATAATAATAATAAATAATAATAATAATAATAATAATAATAATAATAATAATAATAATAATAATAATAATAATAATAATAATAATAATAATAATAATAATAATAATAAATAATAATAATAATAATAATAATAATAATAATAATAATAATAATAATAATAATAATAATAATAATAATAATAATAATAATAATAATAATAATAATAATAATAATAATAATAAAATAATAATAATAATAATAATAATAATAATAATAATAATAATAATAATAATAATAATAATAATAATAATAAATAATAATAATAATAATAATAATAATAATAATAATAATAATAATAATAATAATAATAATAATAATAATAATAATAATAATAATAATAATAATAATAATAATAAAATAAAAAAAAAAAAAAAAAAAAAAAAAAAAAAAAAAAAAAAAAAAAAAAAAAAAAAAAAAAAAAAAAAAAAAAAATAATAATAATAATAATAATAATAATAATAATAATAAAAAAAAAATAATAATAATAATAATAAATAATAATAATAATAATAATAATAATAATAATAATAATAATAATAATAAAAAATAATAATAATAATAATAATAATAATAATAATAATAATAATAATAATAATAATAATAAATAATAATAATAATAATAATAATAATAATAATAATAATAATAATAATAATAATAATAATAATAATAATAATAATAATAATAATAATAATAATAATAATAATAATAAGAAGAAGAAGAAGAAGAAGAAGAAGAAGAAGAAGAAGAAGAAGAAGAAGAAGAAGAAGAAGAAGAAGAAGAAGAAGAAGAAGAAGAAGAAGAAGAAGAAGAAGAAGAAGAAGAAGAAGAAGAAGAAGAAGAAGAAGAAGAAGAAGAAGAAGAAGAAGAAGAAGAAGAAGAAGAAGATGATGATAAGAAGAAGAAGAAGAAGAAGAAGAAGAAGAAGAAGAAGAAGAAGAAGAAGAAGAAGAAGGGAAAATGACACTTTTTCCCCCTATGTTATATACTTATAGCACTTTTTCCCCCTCAATTATTTAAGTGGCTCTTTTTCCCCCTGAAATGTTAAATGGACATATTTACCCTTAAAATAAATATTTCATTTATTTTTATTCTCCAATAAATTATTACTATAATTTGGTTCAAACCAGATACTATAGTAACCAAACCAAAATATTCCAATTACAATTTATAATCAAAACGCGATATTTAGAGTTTATTAAAATCACGAACTGGAATGGGCGGTTCATGTTCCAAACTGAAAAAATAAAATACATTTATTGTTGAATTTAAACTATTTTAATAAAAATAAAATTTTAAAATAAAGACGGTTCAAAATCGCGAACGGGATCCGGAACCGTCGGTTCATGATCCAGTTTTTTTTTTTTTTTATTCTTAAATTTAATAAATTGAAATCCAAATATTGGGTTCTAGATCTGAATCATAACTGAAACTTTTAATTCGATTGCTATAGTGTCTGGTTCAGTTCGAACCGAACCGTGGTAATCGCTACATATACGCAATAATTTGTTGGAGAAGTAAAATAAATAAAATGTTTACTTTAAGGGTAGAAATGTCAATTTAATATATTAGGGGAGAAAACCACCACTTTTAAAATAATTGAGGGGGCTAATGTGCTTACATAAATAATTGAGGGGGAAAAAGTGCTATAAGTATATAACATAGGGGGAAAAAGTGCCATTTCCCCTAATAATAATAATAATAATAATAATAATAATAATAATAATAATTAATAATAATAATAATAATAATAATAATAATAATAGTAATAGTAATAGTAATAATAATATAATAGCAATAATAGCAACAATAGTAGTAATAGTAATAATAGTAATAGTACTACTAATAATAATAATAATAATAATAATAATAATAATAATAATAATAATAATAATAATAATAATAATAATAATAATAATATTTGTACAAGGGCATTTATGTCTTTTAAACATATATTCTATTATTATTCTTTAACCAACCAAACATTGGAATATAGTTTCCAATGTATATTCCTTCAGCGAACCAAACAACAGAATACAATTCTTATTCTATTCCTTTCCTATTCCATTCCCTATGAAATAACATTCCTATTCCCTCCAATTTATCCCGTGAACCAAATGGGCCATTAAGGTTATAAGGATTATTAAGAGCCAAGTCAATGAGGCATCTTTATTGTTTGTCTTAAAATAACAGTAATTAAATTTAAGAGATTTTTTTCTAAAATAGTCCCTTGACTATTTCTTATTCTTAATTGTGCATTTCGACTTTTAATTGCACCAAATGTGGTCCATCGACTTTCAAAAACTCACTCAATTCAGTCCTTTGTTACATATTCCGTTTAGTCAATGTTAAAATAGAGGGCATTTTTATTCGTTTACCTATTGTATGTCTAATATACACTGAGAAATAGTCGATGGCCCATCTTGAAAAAAAAATGATTTTATTTATTTCATTTTTATTTATTATCATTTTTTAGACTCTATCAAATTAGAATTTCTATACATTTTTTCTTACAAATATAAATAGTTAAAATCAATCAATCCAACCTCAAAATTTTAAACTTTCTCTACAAACTTTTCCCATCTATCTAAACATACAAACTTTTCCCATATCCCTATCAAGTTTTACAATAAGTTACGTAAATTCATAAATACACATATACTTTTTATCTTTATCTTTTTATGTTCAAAAAAATAAAATAATATATATATATATATATATATATATATATATATATATATATATATATATATATATATATATATATATGTATATAATTAGGTTCTGGTGCGGTTAGGGTGCCCAGGTGCGATTGTGCGGTTTAATCTGGGTCATTCATCTTGCTTAAATCAACGTCCAGGATTACCAAAATTTAAAAAAAAAAAAAAAACGCGGTGGCAATTTTGTAATTTTTGCATCTAGGTCAAAATTAAGGTGAGCGAATCTGTGATTAATGTGTGTGAGCGTTGTATATAAGATGCGTGAGTTTTGTGCGTAAAGTGCGTGAGGTTTGTGCTTAATGTGCGTGGGGTTGTGCTTAACGTGAGTAGTTATTAAAACTTAAAGTTTGTGAATTAATATTTAAAGTGCGTGAGTTTTGTGCTTAATGTGCGTGAGGTTGTGCTTAATGTGCGTGAGTTTTGTACTTAATGTGCGTGAGTTTGTGCTTAATGTCAATAGTTGTTGAAACTTAAAGCCTGTGAGTTAATATTTAAAGTGCGTGGATTTTGTGCTTAATGTGCGTGAGGTTGTGCTTAATGTGTGTTGGTTTTGTACTTAATGTGCGTGAGTTTGTGCTTAAGGTCTAACACTTAAGTTGCATGTTTCTATCACTTAAGGTGCACCATTTTTAGCTTATACTTCTTTCTTCCAGACAGACTTTTTTTTTTTTTTTTTTTTTTTTTTTTTTTTTTTAATTTTCATTGATTTGAGCTGTTGATCTAAATTTGATAAACGGCTCAGATCTAACCGCACAACCGCACGGGAAGCTATACCCGCACCTGAACCCCTTCCCTATATATATATATATATATATATATATATATATATATATATATATATATATATATATATATATATATATATATATAAACACACATATATAGGGAATGGATCAGGTGCGGGAGGGGGCTTCCCGTGCGATTGGGCTCACATTAACCATTAAATTGACGCACTTTAACTACACAACACACGCACATTAACACACAAACAAAATACCTTCAGAACACAAACCAACGCAGCTTAAGCACAAAACTCACGCATCTTAATCACAACTCTCACGCAACTTAAGCACAAAAGTCACGCACCTTAAGCACAAAAACACACGCATCTTAAGTTTCAACAACTACTCACATTAAGCACAAACTCACGCACCTTAAGCACAAGACTCACGCACCTTATGAACAAGACTCACACACCTTAAGTACAAAACTCACGCACCTTAAGCACAAAACTCATGCACCATAAGTTTTCAACACTATTCAACCCACGCACCTCCGTCACAAATCGTGTAGATCCATCTATTATTTTTTAATGGTCTAGATTAGATTAAATGTGTGCGAACGCGAATTAAAAGTGTGCAAACACAGTTAATCGCGTTTGCACACATTTAATTCGCGTTCGCACACATTTAACCTAATCTAGACCATTAAAAAATATTAGATGGATGCACACGATTTGTTCTCACGTTCTCACCTAAGCAAGTGTTCTCATATGATTCTAAATCTCTCTCTCTCTCTCTCTCTCTCTCTCTCTCTCTCTCTCTCTCTCTCTCTCTCTCTCACTATATATATGTTTTTCTTTACTTCTATGGGTGGAAAAATTGACAGAACAGTCAACAATGGTAGTGCACCACCGACTTTTAGGTTACATGGTCAAAATTTTCACTTAATGGGTAGTTTGCTCCCACAATCTGGCGAGAGACCAAAGTTTGCTCAATTGTATATTTATGATACTCAAAATGAGATCACAAATCGTATAACTGCACTTGGGTAAGTTATGTACGTTTATTTAATTTAAATAAATTAACATCATTTTTTTAACAATATAGATTATAAAATTGTATGGGTTTTTCTATTTCAAACAGGGAAGATGAGTCAAACAATACAATCCATCGTGAAATTGTTAAAGACGTTAAAGATGCACTGGATGAAAATAATGTTTTGGTCCAGAGTTTTAGAATGGCCAAAACAGAGATGGAAAGTAACCATAGAGGTGATATTAAAATCAAACTCATCGGTAAGATGAACGGGGATGCAAGGACATATAACTTGCCACAGGTTGGAGAGGTGGCGGCATTGATTGTTGGTGATTTAGATCCAAACATGGGAGAAAGAGATATATTGGTGGAGTCTAAAGCTGGACATTTTCAAAGAATAACTGAATTAAATCCGGTATATCTCCCACTGCAGTACCCACTACTATTTCCTTATGGTGAAGACGGATACAGAGACGACATACAATTTACTACTCTTGAAGCCAGGAGTTCAAATGCAAGGAGTAAACTTAGTCCCAGGGAGTATTTCTCATTCCGTTTGCAAGATAGGTTCAATGAAATGTCAACATTGATTTATGCTAGACGGTTGTTCCAACAATATTTGGTTGATGCTTATACCATGATAGAATCAGGACGCTTGGTTTATATTAGGTCTCATCAAAAGTCACTTCGATGTGAATCATACAAATGTTTGACAGATGCGTTAACACGTGGTGAAGTAGATCCTAGTGCCCAAGGAAAACGCATAATTTTGCCATCGAGCTTTACCAGAGGTGCAAGATATATGGTGCAAAATTACCAAGATACAATGGCTATTTGTAGATGGATCGGATATCCAAGTCTATTTATTACATTCACATGTAATCCAAAGTGACCCGAGATTGAAAGATTTTTGCAACCAAGGAAACTCAAAGCTGAAGATATGCCAGATATAGTATGCCATGTGTTTAAAATGAAATTAAATGCACTAATTAAAGACATTCAGAAAGAGAAAATTTTTAGAGTGGTAGATGCAGCTAATTTAGGTGATTTCATCAATATATTTGATTATTTTTTATTGTTACATATCTTTTAAATAATTAGCAATTTTGAAGGTCTAATTTCACATTGTTTGTTTTTTTGCAGTAATTTACACCATTGAATTTCAAAAAAGGGGACTGCCACATGATCACATTTTGATATTCTTGAGCAAGAGTAACCCTTACCCTAATCCTAAAGATATTGACATGATCATATCTGCCGAGATTCCAAGTCAATTGTGCGAACTTGAGTATTATCAAGCTATAGCAGAATTTATGATTCACGGTCCATGTGGTGCAGTTAGGAAGAATTCACCTTGCATGATAAATGGTATGTGCTCTAAATTCTTCCCCAAAAATTTTTTTGAAAACTCAACAGTGGATTTTGATGGATATCCAATATATCGGCGTAGAGATAATGGTCGTACAGTACGGAAAAATGGGATTGACCTTGATAGTAGATATGTTGTTCTACACAATAGACATTTGCTTATGAAGTACAGGGCTCATATTAATGTGGAGTGGTGCAACCAATCTAGGTCAATAAAGTACTTATTAAAGTACGTCAACAAGGGTAATTATAGAGTCACAGCTGAATTCTACAATAGTGGGGTGGAAGAATCTACTGGAAAGATTATAGATGAAATCAAGATGTACTATGACTGTAGATATATTTCACCCCCTGAGGCCGCGTGGAGGATTTTTTGCGTTTGACATACAATTCAGGAATCCATCTGTTGAGCGGTTGAGTTTTCATCTCCCCAATGAGCAATCAATAATCTTTCATGACGATGATTTGGTCAATGATGTTGTAAATCGACCAACAGTAGCTCAAAGCATGTTTACTGCCTGGTTTGAGGCTAATAAAAAGTACGCGGCAGGGAGGGAGTTGACTTATTCACAGATGCCAACCAAATTTGTTTGGAAAAATGATAAAAGAGAATGGCAACCTAGGCAAAGAAATTGGGCAATTGGTCGAATCTTTTATGTGCCACCAAATACTGGTGAGATTTTTTATCTTAGATGTTTACTTAATATAGTTCGTGGACCGACTTCATTTGATGAGATTAAACAAGTAGATGGTGTTCAATACAATTCATTTAGAGATGCATGTTATGCACGCGGATTAATCGAAGATGATAAAGAGTATGTTGATGCAATCACTGAGGCAGCAACTTGGTCTTTAGCCCATTCGCTACGTAAGTTGTTTGTTACACTTCTGACATCCAATTCAATGTCCAAGCCAGAAAATGTTTGGGAAATGGTTTGGCAATACTTATAAGATGATGCTCAATATATTTCTAGAAGGAACCTCTCAGTCTCAGGTAACATTTATTGTTATATTATTAATTATTCATATCCATTTTTAAAAGCTTTACATCTTACGTTTTTTTATTCTTATATTATAGATTTAAGTCTAAATGAATCTCAAAAAACAAATTTTGCGTTGCTTGAAATGGAGAAGTTGTTGAATGCTTGGAACAAATCTCTATCAGATTATCCACCTACGCCAATGCCAGATGAAAACAACGATTGGTTTTCTGATAACAGGTTGTTGTTCGAGATGTCATATGATAGGGAAGCTCTATTGCATCAACATAATTCGTTGCATCCGAAACTAACGATGAACAGTTAGTCATATACAATAAGGTGATGGCAGATGTTGAAACTGAGAAAGGTGGAATGTATTTCGTTTATGGTTATGGTGGGACAGGAAAAACATTTTTGTGGAAGATAATTTCAGCAGCTATACGGTCCAAGGGCGAGATAGTTCTAAATGTAGCATCAAGCGGTATAGCTTCATTGCTACTACCTGGTGGTAGGACTGCACACTCCAGGTTTGCTATACCAATTGCTGTTAATGAAGATTCCACTTGCAACATCAAGCAAGGCAGTCCACTTGCTGAATTGATAATCAAATGCAAACTAATCATTTGGGATGAAGCTCTGATGATGCACAAACATTGTTTTGAAGCATTGGACCGAACAATGAGAGATTTAATGCGTTTCAAGAATTCAAGGAGCTCAACAATGACATTTGGCGAGAAAACAGTGGTGTTGGGTGGAGACTTTAGAAAAATTCTACCCGTTATTCCAAAATGTACTAGACAAGATATAGTGCAAGCCAGTATTAATTCATCTTACCTGTGGAATAATTGTGAAGTTCTTCGTCTAACCAAGAATTTAAGATTGCGAGGTCTTACTAATGAAAAGGATGTTCAGAAGTTAGATAGTTTTGCCAAATGGATTGCGGATTTAGGTGATGGTAATCTTGGTGAAGACAATGGTGTTGATTGCAATATAATGATACCGTCTTTAATTGTATTAGAAAACGAGGTTGATCCTATTAGGCAAATTGTTGAAAGCACATTTCCTGAGTACCGTTCTGGGAACATGGAAGAAAGACAACTGGAGAATAGAGCTATATTAGCTCCAACATTAGATGTTGTTGATGAGGTCAATGAATACATGAATGGTATTAATCAAGCTGCTTCAATGACATACTTGAGTTGTGATTCTGTTTGCAAGGCGGAGTCAAACTTTGATATGCAATCTCAAGTACACACAACAGAATTTTTAAATAGCTTGAGGTGTTCAGGTGTACCAAACCACTCTCTAACGCTGAAAGTTGGAACTCCAGTTATGCTGTTGAGAAATATAGATCACTCAATGGGGTTGTGCAATGGTACAAGGTTAATAGTAACACAGTTGGGAAATCATGTTATTGAGGGAAAAATTATAGCTGGGAATAACGCAGGTACAAAGGTTTTGATACCAAGACTATCTTTGACTCCTTCAGATCCAAGACTTCCATTCAAGTTTCAAAGAAAGCAGTTCCCACTGATGTTATCATATGCAATGACAATCAACAAAAGTCAAGGTCAGACGCTTTAACATGTTGGTTTGTTACTGAAAAAACCTGTTTTTAATCATGGCCAATTGTATGTTGCAGTTTCTCGGGTCAGTAATCCAGATGGTCTTAAGGTCTTAATATGTGAGGAGTCTAGAGGTCTTTTAAATAAGACTCAAAATGTAGTTTATAAAGAAATCTTTAATAATTTGTAATTGTTGTTTCATTAGTTTACAATGAAATATTTAATTTTGTGTATTTGTGACGTCTATAACCTTATTGACCATATATCGTGAATAAAACAAATTTTAATATATTTCAGCATAATATTATGGTCGTGCATCGCACGGGCGCAACTACTATTAATATTAATAATAATATTATTATAACATTGCCCCCTTTAAACCAAGTTGGATATATTGGTCATCCCAATTTCCTTCTTCAATTTGAAAAAATGTCTCCGTCTTCAAGTTGGATATACTGACTTGTATTTCGTTTTGTAAACCCACTTGACTCCAATTGGCTTCTTCCCAGGAGGTAAATCTGTTAACTCCCAGGTACCATTCTTTTCAATGGCACGTATCTCCTCATCCATCGCCTTAAGCCAATGAGTTTCTGTAGCAGCCTCCTCAAAAGTTAAAGGATCACAATATGCAAAGAGAGCAAATTGAATAATCTCTTCATCAGACAGGTCATTATCATGACCCAAAACATAATCTTGCAAGCGAGCTGGTAAGTGGTGCTCGCGCTGAGATCGCCGAACTGACGACTCTGGCTGTGAAGGAGACTGGACATTATCTGAAATCGGTTGCTCTTCAACAATATTTTCAACAGCAGGAATAACAACTGAACTTTCATCTTTTGCTAACCAATCCCATGCACCATATTCATCAAAAGTGACATCACGACTTATAACAACCTTTTTAGTTTCAGGATTGTATAGTTTATAAGCCTTTGAAGCGTCACTATAACCAATGAATATGCACTTCTCACCTTTATCATCCAACTTCTTTCTCAACGGATCTGGCGCATGTGCATATGCCAAACATCCAAAAACCTTGAGATATTTGATAGAGGATTTTCTCCCACTCCAAGCTTCTTCGGGCGTCTTATCACGGACACTTTTAGTTGGACACCTATTCAACACATAGACAACACAAGCAACAACTTCTGCCCAAAAATGCTTAGGCAGATTCTTAGATTTCAACATGCACCTCACCATATCCATGATAGACCTATTCTTCCTCTCAGTCACTCCGTTTTGTTGTGGAGTGTATCTAGCTGTCATCTGGTGTTGGATACCCTTCTTCTTCAAAAAATCATCACAGGCAATATATTCTGTAACTCTATCAGTTCTCAAAATTTTAATTTCATAACCACTTTGCTTCTCAACAAAAGCCTTAAATTGTTTGAAAACATCACATGCTTCAGACTTTTGCTTCATAAAGTAAACCCATGTTTTTCTACTGAAATCATCATTGAAAGTAATAAAGTACTTACAACCTCCATGTGAGGGAACATCTAACGAACACAGGTCTGAGTGAACAATCTCCAACTGTTTTGTAGCTCTCCTTGACTTGCCCACAGGGAAGGGATCTCTATGCCTCTTCCCAATCACACAAATCTCACATATACGATCAGGGACATTCACAACAAGTAAATCAGAAACAAGTTCCTTTCTTGCAAGATAGTTTAATCCAGAGAAATGAAAATGCCCAAATCGCATATGCCATAACCAATTTTAATCACAAACTTCAGAATTAAAGCAAGCAAGAATTGTATGCTTAATTTTCAAAGGAAATAGTCGATTTTGGGACATATTTACCTTTGCAATCAAAACTCCTTTAGCATCTGCAATGGTACAACACCCCTGAGCAATATCTATCTTATATCATTTTTCTGATAACTGTCCCACACTCAACAAATTTTGGTGTAGTTCAGGAACATAGAACACATCGGATATAAAATTGTGAGTACCATCCTTCAACTGAATAGAGATTTTACCTTTTCCCAAAATTGGCACCTTTGACTTATTGCCAAATGTCACTTCAGACCGGACTGATTCATCCAGTTCAGAAAACAATTCTTTCTTCCCACACATATGGTTACTACACCCAGTATCCAAGAACCATATGTTCTTATCTGCAGAAAAACTATCGCTGGCTAAAAGTAAAGTTTCAGAACTCTCACCAGACTTTTCAGCAGTATTTTTAGCAATGTTTGCTTGATTTCCACGATTGCTGTCCTCATTATACCAACAATCTGCAATCTTGTGCCCATACTTGCCACAATTGTAGCAATGAAATGGAAATTTACCTTGTTTGGTATTACCTCCATCTCTTCCTTGGTTGGAGTTACCACGACCTCTTCCTTGGTTGAAGTTACCACGACCTCTTCCACCAGAACCTCCTCTTCTTCTTCCACGACCTCTACCAGATCCTCCACCTCTTTGATTAGTGCCAGTCACATTAAGGGTGACTTGGCTCTTCAAAGCTTCTTCTGCTAGTGGTTCCGATTTTGACGCAATCCTGTCAATACGACTTTCTACAATACCTTTCAGCTCTGCAATTGATAAGAGCTCAGTTTTGTGTGACTCTGTGATCGAAGCCACCACATGGTCATACTTCATCGGCATAGTTCGAAGAACTTTTTCAACCACTGCACCATCTTCAATCGTATCTCCGTATAACATCATCTTATTCACCATATCAATAAGACGAGTGAAATACGCATCTACCGTTTCTGTAGAGGTCATCTCACAATTATCGTACAACCTTCTCAACGACTGCAACTTAGACTTCTGCGCCCGATCAACTCCTTTGTGTGACACCTTTAAGATGTCCCAAGCTTGTTTTGCTGTTTGAGCACGAGCTAATTGCCCAAAAATGGAATAATGAACACCTTGGTGAATCTGACCCAAGGCCAATTTATCTCGTCGTATAGCGGCTGCATCAGCTCCTTCGGGTAGACCGGGATCAACAAAGCTCCAAAGGTTTTGAGCTTGCAAATGTGTGGACATCATAATTTGCCAATAATTGTAATCGAGTTTTCCGTCCAATTTGGGACCCGACCATACAATATTGAAATTTGTAGCCATATTTCACTACGAACAATATCTCGAGGTTGAAAGGTTGACTGGCTCTGATACCAAATGTAAGATATATATATATATATATATATATATATATATATATATATATATATATATATATATATATATATATATATATATATATATATATATATATATATATATATATATATATATATATATATATATTATATAATATATCTATGTATTTATATATAATAATATATAAATAGGAAGAGAGAAAGAGAGAGAAAGATTAGAATGAATAATGTTTATTCATTGGGATGATTTAAAAAGTGAAAATACACCACATATTTATACTAAGAGAAAGCTAATAAATAAGAAGCTAATGCTTCATGTACTACTCCTATAATTTAGGCATGTTCCACATTAACATACATGACTCACCCATGTTTGTTTTTATTAAATTCTTTGACTTGGTTTAATTACTAATAATATTAATAATAATAATAATATAACAATATTTAATGTGATACATAGTGATTAATCATCTTTTGAACTTTTAGTATGATTTTATATATATATATATATATATATATATATATATATATATATATATATATATATATATATATATATATATATGAACATAAAAGAAAAAAAAATTAAAAGTATATTAGTATTTATGAAATTTACGAAACTTATTGTAAACTTGATAGAAATATAGGAAACGTTTGTATGTTTAGACAGAGGGAAAAAGTCTGTAGAGAAAGTTAAAAATTTTGATGGTGGATTTCGGGATTTTTACTATTTATATTTGTGAGAAAATAATCTACAAAAATTTTAATTTCATAGAGTATTAAAAAAAAAAAAAAGGAAAACAAAAAAAAAATGAAATAAACAAAAGAGTTTTTTCCAAAATGGTCCCTCTACTATTCCCAAAATGATCCCTCGATTGTTTCTCAGTGTATATTTGGCGTACAATAAGTAAACGAACAAAAATAACATCCATTTTAACACTGATTAGATGGAATATGTAACGGATGACTGAATTGGGTGAGTTTTTGAATGTCGAGGGACCACATTTGGTGCAATTGAAAGTTAAAATGCAAAATTAGGTATGAGCAATAGTCGAGGGATCATTTTGAGAAAAAACTCTTCAATTTAACTATTTTTGTGAGTAAATGTTATGTTCCCCTCCTATGTTTATATATTACTCCATAATATTTATCTCATTATGTGACAATACTTAATTAGATATTTTTTTTTTATTTATTTAATGGCAAAAATTTGTGTGAAATACTCACGGATCTTTATCCGTGAGATAGGTCGAGTTGTAGACAACTTGGTGTGTAAACATTATAATTTCATTTATAAGTATTACAATATTTATCATTAGTAACAATCCATTTTATCATAAATAGTATCACAATATCACATATAAGTATTACAATATTTATCATAAATAATGATTTATTTTTAATTCAAATTGGTGTTAAATTTTCTACAATAAGTATTACAATTTCTTTCAAAAGTAATGTTGGTTTTATGAAAATGTGGTAGTCAACAGCAAGCTGCCAACACTACCGTATCTTCAAATGGATAATATATGGTATGTTTGAAGAGTATCATATAGTGGAATAATAATGGCTTTATGAACAATACACTAGGAGAATAATTCTAGAGAAGAGATGTGAGTCACAAATGAACTACTTAAATACCAAATCTCAATCAGAGATTTTTCTAGACATGTATGGTCATTCTACCAAGATTGATTCTCACATACATGATTAAACAAAATATTAATTGATAATATGAGGTGATAATAGTAAAGAAGACGAAGACTTTACGTAGAAAACCCCAAAAGGGTAAAAACCACAGGCAAAGATAAAGGTATTTTCACTATTAGGAGAATATTACAATTTCATTAATTTCTATGTAGTAAAGAGGAAACTATAGAGAGTTTCTCTTTTGCAAGAGGTCGTGAGTTTGATTCTCACAACTCCCCTCACTTTGTTTTACATCCTCCCAAATGCTCTGTCGGGCCGAGGTGTGGGGGGCCCTTAGGGTTGGGGTTCAGCCTTTTGGAAGAATAATAATAGCTATAAGAGGGGAGGTTTGGGTGATTTTGAGATTGATGAGAATGGTAGATGGCTAGAGTATTTATAGTTGAGATTCAGGGTCCAATCTTGTAAATAACATAAAGTTTAGGGAATAAAATAAAATTTTCCCATCCACTTATCTATAAAATATATTTTCCCCATAATTTGTCACCAACTCCCCATAAGTTGTCTTCAATTTGTCTTCAAGCTTATGTAGTATATTCCCCAAAGTTATAACATTCCCTTGTGAAAAATTAGGTATTGTTGCCTTCCATGCCACTTTTGACCATGGTAACATCCGAATCAAGCTTGATTTTCTTCATAAAAGTTGTAGTCCTTTGAGTTATCTTTCCATCGGTTTAAGAATCACATGATTTGGACATTCATGTGCCAAGATATGATTAAAGTACGGCACTATTGATAAATTGGGTGAGAAATACAGCTTCATGCCATTTTGCTCTAATTCATCATTCCTTAATTATATCTTTATAATTTTGATTGGGTTGGTTATTTAGGCTGGATCGCTATATATATTTTAAGCCTTCACTGAACATCTAATGGAAATATACTGGCAAATCACTCTGGGCCGGTCGTCCAAGCCCAAATATTCATGCCCAAGCGTCTCACCCAACAAGTAGCATTTCACATATAAGTATTACAATATTTATATTAGAATTTCACTTTATAACTATCACAATTTCAGTTATTAGTATTACAATATTTATCACTAGTAACAATCATTTTATTCTAAATTTATAAAATCACAATTTTCACATATAAATATTACAATATCTATTATAATAACAGTTTATTTATTTCAAATTAGTATTAAATTTTCTATACTAAGTATTATGATTTCTATCATAAGTAACAAGCAATTATCTTAAATTCAACCAATCTCACGGGCTAAGATCCGTGAGACGGTCTCACACAATTAAGTGTAACTCTTAATAAATAAGAAGGTTCTTTGTTTAGTAGTGGCTTGAAGGACAGAGTCCAGTACTATACTATCGAAATGCGACACTAACTACTACACAAATATAATAAAATAAAGTTATGTATTCGCTACTTGCGATAGGCAGCATGAAAGCGGGAAACGAAATATAGGGAGATAGAGGATGAAACACAAGAGAAATGTTTAAATTTGTGCATTTGCAATTCTTTAAATATGCATAAAATGGTAATTGTTTACTAGTTCTTTTTAGGAAATACATTTCTGAATCTAAATTAGGGAAATGATTTTGAAATGTTTTATAGATTTTTTGTACGTTTTTTTAGAGGAAACACCTTCGAAACGTGGAAATGCTCACCCTGGAGTTTCTATGGATCATAGGCGATAACTTTTGGTATAATGGTAAGTGTTTAATCCTGACAATTGGCAGCAGAGTATACCACCAGAGAAAGAAAGTTACGACTTCACTACTAGCTATAGATTTTGATATAATGATAACAACTTGGTCGTCACATTTTTTTTTTAATTAGGAGGGGTTAACCAATTCATGAGTAAATTAACAATGAATATAAATAATTTCATTGTTACATTAAGAGTTAAATATTAGGAGATGGAATTAAGAAGGGAAAATTAGCATTATTCATTTTCTTACAAATGAAAGCAAAATTATGTTTTGTAACTCAAAAAAAAAAAAATTAATTAAAAGAAAAACATCACCCTTCAATCATCAATTATATATAAAAAGCAATAAATTCTTTATACACCTCGATGAACTATCCAACGGCACTCTTTCCAACTCAGTTGTTTGTCTCATATTGGTCAGGTGATCTATACATCTATTTCTTTCACGAATGATGTATGTAGCAAGCATATTACAATCCCACAAATGAACAACTACCGTCCTTCTCATCAACTCCTCACATTTCAAAACTCTTACTAGGACTTCAAAATCTATCTCTACCTCTGTATTTAAAAACCCTTTTAAAAAAAATCATACTTTTTTGTAACCAAAAAAAAAAAAAGGAAATCACTTTTTTCGAATTATTTTGGTTCGTTTTGTACTTTGAAAATGTTGACAAGACTATTGGTTGACTTTATTTTCTAATTTTTACTTTATTTTTGTGATAAATACATGATTGACTCATAACACAAGCATATTCTTATGTTCAATAATAGTGGACTTGAGAGAGTGGCATGTGAATATTACTGTTTTAATCGCCTTCCATGAGGCTATTTGGTTGACTTTTAGCTAGGGATAGCAATGGGTCAGGATGGATCGAGAAGGGGTATAACCCTTGCTTGACTACCTTATATTTTTTCCATCCACTCCCACTCCCAACCCGTATCGAGTGGAGTTTTTCAAAACTCACCCCATCCTACCAGATGCGAATGCCCACTACGGGTACCCATCACTTAAATCATCTTATTAATTTTTATTAAAAAATAATATTTAAATTACTTACGCATAATAAAATAATAAAATTCATTAGTTATACTAAAACATAAAATAATAGAAATATTCAAGTATAATAACTAAATTGTTAATTTTAAAAAGGGAAAATCACACTTTTGGTCCCTCAATTGTTGCCCGATCTGCAATGTGGTCCTTCACTGTCAATTTCAGTCAATTAGGTCCTTCAATACTTTAAATTGTAGTCAATTTGGTCCTCCGGTCAGATTTCTCTCAAACCATAGTTAATATCATGGAAACTTTGGTAATTTCACAATAGCCTTAGTTACCCCAATTTCATTTCAGCCGGATTTGAGAAGCTCGTTGGAGAATTTCACTCTCGGGCACAACTCACTTTTCCCCCGGTTCTCCGACAACCTGAATAAATGCGCTAGCCTGAAGTATTTAGATCTCGGGAACAATTTATTATCTGCGTCGCCATGTCAACGCTCAGTGAGCTGACACATCTGTACATGAATCGTAGCGGATTCGTCGGGAAATTTCCTTGGAATTCGCTAGAAAATGTTACGAAGCCGGAGGTTCTTAGGAAGGGATTGGAAACCTCACGGAGCTTATCGATTTGGAGCTGTCAATGAACTATCTTTCCGGCGAAATTACTGTCAGAATTTCGAACCTTTGGAAACTATGGCAGCTCGAACTTTACAACATCGAGCTCACCAGAAAGCTATCGGCTGGGTTTGGGAACCTGACGAACCTGGAATGTCTAGATGCTTCCACAAATTATCTCTACGGTGATCTCACCAAGATTAGGCACTTGACCCAACTGGTAAGTTTGCAACTTCTTGAAAATCATTTTTCCGGCGAGTTACCGTCAGAGTTGGGGGGAGTTCAAGAAATTGGTAAACTTGTCTCTCTACACCAACAGCCACTCTGGTCAACTCCCTTCAAACCTGGGCTCGTGGGCAGAGTTTGATTTCATCGATGACGTCTCAGAAAATTTCTTCACCGGACCAATTCCGGTGGAGATGTGCAAGCAGGGGAAGATGAGTCAGTTGTTTCTTCAAAACTCCAATATCAAATTCTCCCTCTGCCTTCGCGCCTCATCTCTCTTTCGCCTCCGTCCCCGCCGCCATAAAGTTCATAATTTTCTAATCTCTGCTTTCCCACATGCCTACTTTCACAGCCATCACCTTTCGGTTTTGAGAAATTTCGCTCCAAACCACAGGCGTATTATACCAATAAGAGCATCGGTAACGGTGTCGCGTATTATGGTGCTCGGAGCGAGGAAGTGGATGATTCCAAGCCTCCGTCTGTCAATCATGTTTATATTTCTCCGGCTCTCTATATAACTCCAGTACTAGCTTCGATCCTCGAGATTTCCTTTGCACCGCTCTCGTCGTCTCCGTATGTCGTTAATCAGAAGCGTCGTGGAGGAGAATGTCACATGAACGGGAAAATCGATGGATTTCAAGTGAAAATGAGCAGGAGAATGAGGAGGTAA